CTGAGCTAAAACAGATAGTTACATACGAGTCATATGTAATTATTTTAGGAAATGTCTGAAAGAGTTATTTTAAATAAAATAATAACATCGCACTTCCAAACCGAATCACTAGAATTTAATTTGGGTTAACAAAAATTAGTTAAGATAAAGCTGTATACTTTATTATTTCAATGATGAATTATTACTTAGTTTAACTATCCCTTACGTTAATGGGCCGTTTGAAATAAATGACAACCATTTTCTGAATGTGTTAGACAAATTTCTGAATATGTTGGTATCAAAGTTAGAAGTTTTTCAGTACTCGAATCAAGAGTCAGATTCGGTCGTCAAAATTTGGCTGTTCTCAAATTTAACTCACTACTAACTATATTTTCTTATAGACTCCTATGAGCTACGAATTATGCTAATCGAGAGAAAATAAAATGCAGTAACTTACAGCAGCAAAAAAATATCTGAAAGTAAAAATTTGCTTTGTAAAAATAAAGAAAAATAAAAAAGGATTCTAACGAGAGAAAAAAAGTGTCAATAGAAGATGAACAAAAAAAAGAAATGAGACTACGCAGAAAAAATGAATTAAAATCTTGAACAGATGGAGAATAAAAACGCATTTTCAAAATAATTGAGAAAACAAGTGACTTAATCGCATACGCAAAATTTATCCCAAAGATGAAACTCCTATAAAAAATGATTTCTGGTGTCAATTTATAGATTAGTTTTATCTTTAATTCATCGAATCATTAATATCATTTTTTTGTGATGGAAAACAGAGATAGAAGTACAGCGCGGCTCACTCGTTAACATCATCTTCGAGTGAGAAGTTCTAGAGATTTATGAATCGGATGTGGGTGTGGATAAAAAAACACATCTTTTAACGTCATCTACACTCTCATTCCTCAAACACCAACCGGTAAGAGAAATTGAATGTGAGCGTTCTTTGTATCAATTTTGCATTTATTCAAACACTCTACTAGAAAAACAAAATATATATCGCAAAATCTAGAATGAAAAGCTCTACAATTCCTAAATTATATACGACTAATTTTTGACCATGTGAACACGATCATTTATTTTCATGCAACGAATTTTCTTGTTTTACGTCAAACATAGATCAATCATATAAATTTCAGAGCTTCTCACGCTGTATTCTTTGGTATACTTCGTTCTTCCAATACAACTTATAAAGGAAAGAAAAGGCGATACACAAAACGCACATATTCAAACTATTTTATCCGTCAGGGTATAATCAATTTTGAGCAGCATTGAGTTTGAAATGTTCCTGCAATTCATCTTTCATCATCTATTACAAATAACAGAATCATTTTCTTTTGACAAGTTTATATATTTATGTTATTGACATATTCTTTTATATTGTATTTATTATTGACGCTTCTATTGTTATCATTAAACATTGTGATTCACAAAATCTTTCTTATTGGTTCAAATTAATTGAGTCAGACTTAAATAAGCTAAAGTTATTTCATGTAATTCTTCCTAACAAACTACAGCGTACATCTCCATCTTGTTGTGTATCATAATGCATCTTCCTTAAAATTTATTTATTTTTCTGTTAATGCCTATATAATAAAACAAATTCTTCTGCATCTTTTCGTTAATTATTATTAATATTTGTCTTCTGTTGAATGGAATAAAACAATTTATTTATTTTTAGTGACATTTCCCAATAATTAACTATGAGAACTGACTTAAATGACAGAAAAACTCTTCTCTATGTTACTGAAAACTGAACAAGAGAAAAATAAAAGGTTTATTTTTTTTCTCTATTCGCCTACCTAATGACGTCAATGGGAATTTCTTTTTTTGAAATATTTGCTGCAAACACAACATTTGAATGTATCAATAAATAAAAACAATGAATCTGTTTCCTTCTTCAAAACTAATATAAAATATCAGGGATTATTTGTTGTAAATATAAAAATATTCATGATACTGAAATTCTGTAGGAAGGATGTGAAAACAAAATGTAATATTATTCTTGTTAAGCATACATCGCAAATCATGCGTTTACGAAGGAAATACAACGCTTCCTGAAGAAAAAAATATATCGACATTATTTGTTATTTGAAATGTGTAGCACAATCGATTCTATTCTTATTTCATACATTAGATAAATGTTAAGAAAAGTGCGATTGCTTATCTTCAGAATGTATCTTCATCGAAACACATCAAAATGTATGAGAAATAAATACATCAACAAAAAAAATTAGAATCAACAAAATCAACTAAAGTCATAATTTTATTATCGTTTGAAATTATTTATCATGACGAATAATTATGATCAAACTAAGATAGTTGTGAGTAAACATAATATATCAATTATTTCTTTTGTTCTATATTGGTATGAATAAGAGAATGACATTGTGAGTAAATAATTGTAAAATGTTGAATACTTTCTCAAAAACAACAACATTTTCTAATATTCAATAAGAATTCAATTGACAAAATTAAAATGTTTTATTATGATGAAGAATTGATTTATTTTATCAAATTCAAATAAATATTTAGAGATTTAGTTCTGTAAAAACAAAACTCTGTAAAATCTAAAAATAGATTGAATATTATGTAAATTATCACATCTGAACCAAACTATAAAACTATTTCATAAACTGATTAGTTTTATTGAGATAAATTCAAAATAATGTTAAAACACATTTGTTCTAACGAAAGATTTCTTATCTAATTTTCAATTGTTCAAATTTTATTTTCATTAAGATTTTATTTCGAATTATTTAATTTGCAAAAAAAAACTAAATAATCAATGGCACAAGAATATTATCAGTAGTTTTTTTGGTAATCAATAATCCACAACCAAACCTTCACGCCTATCCACATTATCACATAAACCATACAAACTCACACATTCACCCTCAAATACCAGATATTTGGGTGTGAGTGTGGGTGTTAGGATTGATGAAATAAGATAGCTATACCCACCGAGAACCATACCCAAATTTTCCGATTTATTATCTTGTTTTACAATTATTAAGTATATGATCGTTTTTCTTATCCATGCTTTCAGTCCGTAAACATTGAATCAAACTCTTTATAAAATAATCGGACTACTTCATTCTGTTCGTAAGAACATTTATTTATTTTTATTTTCTTTCTTATTGTTTTTGATTATAAATTAAAAACTAAATTTAGTTTCTTTCATCGAATAAGAAAAACTTAATGAAAACTCGATAATAACGAGGGTATGAGTGTGGGTATAGATAAAACGCATCCACACCTGTACCCTTTCCACTTGCATTTCTAAAGTCATTTTTCTACGTGTTCTCTTTGATCAAGTATCATTTTACAATCGCTGTATATTTAACAAGACTGAATACTTTGTAACTTGATTCTTAAGAAAATATATGAGGTTGATAAGCAACATCTGGGACAATACAGAATTGTTATATTGCACGTTTTGTTTATTAAATATGTCCTATAATACTTCAGACGAAGTGGGTGGTTGTGGGTGTGGTTTTAGTTGATGATTGGAAAGAATTCCCACATTCTCACCTATATCCAAACCCTCGATGTGATCTTTCCTCTTAAACAATTTCGGGTATTGTATGAAAAGATCGAATTGCGATCAGTAACGTGATATAAAAAACTAATATTATTTTATGCAAATTATTGCTTACTGTTGTTATTGGTGAATACATTACAACAACAATGATGCTATATAAATGTGAGAAGAATATCGTATCGAGACCATTATTCGATACGCGAACAATGCAAACTCGCTTGTTGGTATTTCTTTACGTGTGGCTAACATATATCAATGCTGCTGAAGAACAAGAGGTTATTGTTGTGCCAGATTTACGCCAGCAGGCCACCATGCAAACTGTCTACAAAAGGTTTCAACCACGAATGCCTTTTGACCAAGAATTTCAGATCACAACGCCAAACACTGTCTTTGTCAAAATTCCTGGCTTGAGTCTGGTCCTCTCGCACTCGTATCCAATGCTCTACGAACTTTCCTTCGAAGGCGTGTGTCGAGTAGACATTGGAGGAGCTGCTTATCAACTCGATTTTTTGTACGACGATCACATCCTTACAGAAAACAAATTGGAGAAAAATGATGGTACGGGCAAGGGTAGAGAGCTTTGGTTCTGGTACAAACCGACAGTTCTCTTCCGTCAACTATGCACTCGTACAGAAACTGTCTTCTTGCCTGCGGGGATCCATCTTATCGACGTAGGCGTTCGTCTTCGAACGCATTCACTACTCGCAGCTGGTACACAACTGTTGAATATTGCAAATAGTGGCCTCACAGTTAAACTGACGCAGTTTGATAAAAATCAAATAAGAGTTGGCGATCTTGAATTGTTGTCTGAACTCCAATGATCGATAGTTAAATATTGCTTACATAGCCAAGAAAGTATTTCTGTTCATTATCTCTAAATAAAGTATGGTTCAAGGAGAAGACATTTTTCGGTGTCAAATAGTTTCAGATGTGATATTTTATGCATTCGTAGGTGTGGTGCGGGTGTGGTTGTGGGTGGGTGAGGATGTCTAAGCTATTCTCAACTTTACATCTATACGCACACCCACACCCTCAATTATTTTTTACTTAAAAAAAAAAACAAGCTAATGTACATACAAATACTTGTTGAAGAATTGTAAAGAAGACGAAGAGAAACAAAAGGGAGAAGACAATTACAAATATTTTTAATAATAAATAAATATATAAAACGCGAGACCTTTCGAATTTCTTTTCAAGCGATGTCTTAAGAGAGTTTTTGTAAATGCTATCAGATTTTATCAATAGACATCACGAACTTATGGTGTAAAATAAAATATTGTCTTAATACTTTCACAATTTCTCTTCTTTTATTTACTTTATTAAAATATTTCGTTGATATCAAAAATTCATCACTGAAATTTTCTATGAAATTAGATGTAATTCGATTCACAGTTAATTTCATACATATTATTAAAAAGAACAAGAAAATTAGTAAAAAACATTTGTTAATGAAGTAGTTCAATAATAATTATTGTATGTTGTTTTGAGCATTTAACATTTTATAATAAATTCCACCTTTTTGTATTAGTTCTATATGAGTACCACTTTCGACTATACGACCCATTTCAAGTACATGTATTACATCACATGAACGTATTGTTGAAAGACGATGTGCAATAATAATTGATGTTCGACTAGAATCTTCTGTTTGAGCTTGATCAAGAGCTTCTTGTACTATCTTCAATTATTAAAAATATTAATTATATATATATAAAAGAAAACAAACTTACTCTTTCATTATATGGATCCATAGCACTCGTAGCTTCATCTAATAATAGTATCTTAGGTCGACGAATAAGAACTCGAGCAATAGCAATACGTTGTTTTTCACCACCTGATAAAAAACTACCTTTTACTCCAACCTTTGTCTCATAACCCTATAACAAAATAAGATAATATTATTAAATAATCAAAATATTAATCTAACTTGAGGTAATTGTTGAATAAATTGATGAATATTAGCTTTAGTTGCAGCAAGAACAATCTCATCCATTGGTATATTTTCTAATCCATATGCGATATTTTCAGCAATTGTTAAATCAAATAAAATTGGTTCTTGACTAACAACACCCAAACACGAACGAAGCCATTGAATATTTAGTTTTCGAATATCAACACCATCGAGAGTCTAGTTTATATTAATATTTTTGTTTATATAAGTACTTGAATTATATATAGAAAAGAGATACTTACCAATTGTCCATTTGTAACATCATAAAATCGTTCTAGTAATTGAATTATTGTTGATTTTCCACATCCAGATGCACCTAAATTGATTAATATTATATGATTAATAAATTAGAAAATATAGTAATTTATTGTTGCACATTACCAACAAGAGCTATACGTTGACCTGATTTAATAGATAATTGAAGTTTATTAAGAACAAGAACTGTTGGACGACTTGGATAAATAAATTTAACTTGATTAAATTCTGTTTCTTCACTAAAGTTAGTCTAAATAATTCAAGAATAAAATATAAAATTGAAAGGCAATAGTTTTATTTTTTTTTCTTTTACTAATTTTTGTCCTTTATTAGATCCATTATCAATAGTTGGTATTCGATCAAATAGATCAAAAAAAGCGTGAGCAGCAGCAAATGATGCACCGATACGTCTTGCTCTAAAATGAAAATAGCAAAAACAGAAACAAAACATAAATTCTATATCTTACAACATTCCAGCAACTTTTATCGATCCTAATGCGAAAATTCCAAAAGCAGAAATTCTATAAAAATAAAAAAAAATAATAAAACTTAATTTATAGATTATGGAAATTATTGTTTTAGTTACATAACAATATCGTTCATGTCTAGTTCATTGTTTTCAACAAGAACTAAAGCACGCCAATACAAAAGTCCCAAAATCAATGAGTCCATCATCCAATACAATCCAAATACTGTTGCAAACAATGCTTCAGGTCTCCAAGACATTCTAAACAAAAGAAAATTTATTGAAGATTGAAGTCAATATCTATAAAAAAATAAGAGAGTTAAATATTCGATATTATTAGATCATTATTAATATAGAAGAACATGTTTTTGACAAAATTAATCAAGATTATTAAAAGCACTCGGAGTTTTGTTTATTACTTTATATATATATTTAGGTTTTAATTTAGATCTAGTATAACTAGAAAATAGACTGATTACAATCAAAGGAACTATCTGATCAAATTTCTCTCAAGTTTCGACCTTACTATTGTTTTCCCAATTGATTTTTATTTATCAAATGTATATACATGGCATGATATTCAAAAGACTAACCTTAATACTTGATCAATCATATTCGAATATTGTCGTAAAACTTCATTTTCCATTGATAACTGTTTTACTGTGCGCATATTAGTAAGAACTTCAACAGCAAGCTAAACAAGACACAATATAGAATAAATATTTAATAATTATTTGATCAAATAATGTATAATAACATAATTCCATTACACATGAAAATATTATGAATAATAAAATGGTTTTACCGTGCTAGCTTGACAGTAAATGCGATCAGATTGTGTTTTTAACCATGAACTCAGTCGTATCTGCATAACATTGGCAATCAGTAGGATAACGAACGGAATAGCTATGATTATTGTTAATTCCCAATTGTAGAAGAAACCAAGCAAGAAGCCAAAAGTAGACATGGATAAACCTTCACAGATAACACCTAATCTTGAACCAGCCATGTCTTCAATAGCAGCTGCATTAGAAGAAAGTTGAGTACATATAGCACCAGAACTATTTTCAGGTCGATCAAAGTAAGCTACTTCTTGACGAAGTAAACATGCGAATGCTTTTAAACGAAGACGACTAACTAATTTTGCTCCTGCAATTCCAAAAGTCACAAACTGTAAACAAACGTGAAAAAACTCACTAATGTAGTTTAGAAATAAAATTTTTACTTGGAAAAAATGGAGAATCATAAAAGCAGCGCCCAAAAGAATAAATAAACCACTTGTAATCGACACTCGACGACGTATATCAGTGTATTTACAATCATTAAACTCCTAAATAAAAAACAAAATCGACAGAAAACACACGTCTTTTAGCTTTTCTTAGAATATTCATACAAATAAATCACTCACATTGATTATTGTCGCTAATAGAATCGAGAAAAGTGGTCCACGTAATCCACCAAGTAAGCATGCTAAACAACCAATCAAGATACATATCCATTCAGGACTATTCATCTTCAAGAGTCTAAGAAAAATAGATTTTTCTCTTGTTGATATCGAAGTTCTCTAGAAGAGTATATATTAATAATGATTTTTTAAAGTTATTACATATTTATTTTTACCTGATTTATATCAGTTGCTTCGCTCTCACTCAATAGACGAGCACGCTCTACTATTTCAAAAAACAAAACACACTGAAGTTTATAAAACATGATAATTATTAATATTGGAATAGTAACATACATATTTGTTCTTCATCTTCAGCTGCTGCTTGTGTCATATACATTAACCCATCTTGCGTATCAATCGTTTTTTCAGATTGCTGCATTTTGACCATTGTTTGATATTTTCCTCCTTCTTTTATCATTAATGTTTCATGTGTACCTTCTTCAATCACACTTCCTTTATCTAATACATAGATATAATCAGCATTTTGAATTGTAGTCAAACGATGAGCAATAACTATAGTTGTACGATCTATATAGTATAATAATAATAATAATATAACCCTCAAGTAATTAAGTAATTTTTACTTTTGCATGCTCGATCTAGTGCTTCTTGAACAATTTTTTCACTAGCATTATCAAGTGCACTTGTTGCTTCATCTAATAAAAGAATGTTGGGTTGTTTGACAAGTGCACGAGCTAATGCAATACGTTGTTTTTCACCACCACTCAATTGTATACCACGTTCACCAACAAGTGTTTCGTATTTCTGCAAACAAAAATATTAATATAAATAAATATAAATATAAATACTTAAAAACAAACATTTGGTAATTTCATAATGAAATTATGTGCATTAGCTTGTTCTGCTGCTTGTTCAATCTCTTCACGTGTTGCATTCAATTTACCAAAACGAATATTTTCATAAATACTTATTCCAAACAAAATCTATTTTAATATAAAAATTCTAGAGAGACTAAAACAAAAATGAAAGAAACCTACAGGTTCTTGACTAACAACTCCAATATTTTGACGAAATTGTTTAATTTTATAATCTGTAATTGACTGACCATCAATCATAATTCTGCCTGAAGAAGGTTCGTAGTAACGAAGAAGGAGTGATACACATGTACTTTTTCCTATCACAGTAAATTTCAATATTAAAATGTTATATTTGTTTTTGAAAAAAATCATTTACCACAGCCACTTGAACCTACAAGAGCAGTTGTTTGATTCGCACGAGCAATCAATTTAAGATTATTCAAAGCTGTTGCAGTTTCTCTTGATGGATAAGAAAAACTAACATTGTCAAATTCAATATCACCATTGATATCAGAAATCGAGTTTTCATCAGATATGTTCTCTTCCAATATTTCTTTTTCATTCAGATTTTCATCATGTACCTATATCATAAAATAAAATAGAAAATATAATTATCAAAGTTCAGTTTCGACTATGTAATCGATTTTACCTCGTCAATAAGTTGAAATACGGATACTGCTGCACCTTGAGCTTCCGAAATTGATTGGAAGAAAGGACCAACTGAATTAAGAAAACTTAAAGCTTGTGCGAACATATTTACAACCTAAACAAAAGTTCGTTTTTCAGTTACTTTCTTGTATATTGATGTTATAGCAGACTTACAACAAGAATCTCACTAATGGTCAGTATACGATGAGTTTCATAAGACATAAGAATAGAACCAAAAGTGAAACCAATTGAATAAACTATAAAATTTATAAAAAATAACCAACCAAAAAAAGCACCAAATGCAGCATCTTTCCTCACAGTACACCATTCATTTAATTTTAATTCTTTATCATATCTAGATCGAATAAATAATATAGAATAATCTATAAATCTTTGTTTATTTATTTATTTACTGTTTTTGTTGGTATTTGCTTCCATTAAATGAAAGAACAGTTCTTAATGAACTAAATACTTCTTGAGCGATTTGTCCAGCTTTTGAATATGTATTTAATTGTTCTTCTGTTTCTTTTGTGATGAGCTGTAATTATTAATAAAGATTTTAGCGAACTAAATAATACGTTATACCTTAGCAAACATCAATGAACTAACAACAACAATTGGAATTATACAAGACATGATTAAAGATAATTGCCAACTGATAATGAAAGATATGATTATACTGAAAATCATGACCAAAATAAGTCCAATTACTATTAAGAATTCAAAACCTATTCCATTTTTGATCTTTTCAATATTACTGTAAAGGAAATCGATCATGTCTAATTGTTTGTCATAAAATTATTATATTTACGTAAAAAGCTTTGTATTGTATTGAGTAGTATGGTTTGTATCGAAGTAAGTCATGTTCTAGAAAATGAAAGAGAAATAATATATTATTTTATTTTGAATCATAAATTAAGAAATATATCAGTTTATCGTTATCATTATTATTTTCTTTAAAGTCAGAAATCGAGATCAAAATGATCTACTTAATTTTGTTTTATGTTTGATTAGAAGCAAGAGGCATAAATAGAATAAACTAAATTTTAACTAATTTCATCGTTCATAATAACGAATTATAAAGTATTTTATGAATGTAAAAAAATATTTTTACTTACACGTTGAATAAGTGATTGAAAGAGTAAAACACTCATGCGAGATGTTTGCCGTTTCGTAGCAGTTGTCCAACAGATATATTCAAGAGAAGTACATAGAAATGCAAGAATACTTAAAGCTACATTGATACAAAAACAACAAATCGCTTGTTTTTTTAAAATTTAAATCATCATATTCAATAGACTTACCCAAGAACCAATGAACTAGATGCATAACATTTTCATGAAATAAAGGCGTTAATGGAGATAATGTGGATGAAATAGATTTATTATTATAATGGCATAGACTATAAATGAAAAATTTCAAAAATTTCAAAATAAGAATATTTCTCAGTAAAATACTTATGTAATCGATCATAATTTAATGGATTAAGATCAATACCAAGAGGACATACACTGTTCTTGATAATTGTAGATGTTAAATTTTGATATTGATTATTACAATCAACAGCAAATGATGTGGTGGCAAATAATCCCGTGATTCGACCAAAAAGAATTACATTTGCGAGAACACAAACTTCATGTATTAATATGAGACACAGAGCAATAATTATAAGAAGAATATCAATACGATCAGCAAATCGAAACTATCATTAAATGAAATGAATATATTAAAAAGAAAAATAACATGCTTTCTCTTATGATATTTTATTTTTGAATATACTTACCAATTGAAAAACACTGATTGGAATATCTTTAGTAGTATGATTGATCTCATCGTCTAATTTTTTATTCTTAGCATCAGCCTTTTGCCGATTGAAATATTGACGCCAATCAGAAAAACTATAAATAATGATGAGTTTGTTATGTGTTTATCAAATTATACCTTTTGTTGTCATTGTCGCTATCATTGTCATTAAGTAGTTTGTTATAGTTCTTTAATAGTGGCTCTTTATCATTCATGTTCTTCTTTTTCTTTTCAAATATTAATTACTATGAAAGGTGAAATATATTGTGGGTCTATATATATTACTATGAAGAGTGATTCAATACCTTTTGCTTCACTGATTTTGTGTCCTTCTTCTATTTTATCAGTTTTCTTTCACATTGTCGTAAAGCGTAGGCAGCACTGTGTCAAAGACATAAATTTCAGATATTTTTTTCGTAGATATATTTATAATTAGTATTTTCCTCTTACCTGTCGCGTGGTAGTAATATAGTATAATTAAAGACTCAAGGGTAGTAAATTTAATGACTGATAAAAACTAAAAAACTAAAAATATTCTATGTAAAAAGTCCTTCAAATCTAATTCTAAAGCATTTATAGACAGAAAAGAAACAATAAATTGAATGAAAAGAGGTATGAGAAGTCGAAATCATCAATCCAGTTCTTTAATAAAATTCATATATATATTTATACGAGATACAATGTTATCTTAAGATTATCATTCATTTATAAATCAATATTATATATAAACAAATTGTTTCAACTTTCATTATAACATCGAGTTAGAAATATATTTATTCAACAAAAACTAAAATTTATAGTATCCACAACCGACACGCTCAAAATGAACTATTCCATTACGATTATATAACTTGAAGCATAAGGAATTGATAGATTAATTTATATAAATCAATCTTTTTTTTAATTCATCATATATGTGAAAATCTTTTCGTTTATAGTAAAAAAATTTTTAATTCAAAGTTGAAGTTTAAAACTGACAAATCAAAGGTATTTATTATCTTACAGAACATTTCCTTTACAATAAAAGAAAATATTTCAATTTTTTTGATATATATCAAACATAATTTCAAATAATTCAATAATACCATATTTTCTTGTTATATTTATGATCAATCATTTTTTTAAATAGATTTTTATCTTTCTGACATTGATATCATAACGGTTGAAGTCTTAATAGACGTTAGATTGAAATGATCGTGAGTTTCTGTAGTATAGAAATATATCGTCATTTTATTTGTACATATTCTCTACGATACTAATGTGTATTTAGGTCTTAAACTCAATTTGATTCTGAATTTACTCATGATAAAAAATAGAACTTTATTTGGATGAATATTGTTTGATGTGATTTTTTTTAAGTGTGATGAAAGAATAATGATTCTATTTTGTTTACATTTTGGTAATTAATCTATGATTAGGGTATACTTTTTAATGATTTCTTGTAGAACATAATATTAAGACAAGTTTTCAAAATATTTTTTATGATATAATTTATCTTCAGATAAACAATATTATTTCATTTCAAGATATATTATTCGTACCTGATATAATCAACTCTTTGTTCATTATAATTTTTTCAAAATTATTGTTTTTTTGCTCGTGTATGATATAACACGTATCATTTTATGTTAGAAGGAATTATTTTCCCATTCTGTTATTTATAACTTATTTAGAAAAAAAAGAGTTTTGTTTTTACTCTTCATTTTCTTTTAACACGCTTCTTTTTATTCGCAAGTATATATAAAGAAAATATTATGGTGCACATCTGATTATTTTAACAATAGCGGTATTAAATAATATTTAGGATTTATCAAGTAAGACACATACTTAATCAGTTTTTCTAAAGGAAAATTTTTCATGTTTAAAATTGTATTGGTCATAATACACAGAAAGAGTGATGTCATAAT